ATGATCCTTGGCCATACCACTCTGCCCATTATGTAATGGCACAATCAGCAAAAAAATGAATAAAATTCAAAGATCCATACTTCATACTACAACTAAAATGACCTGACTTTTTATGCTCCTGAGTAAAAGGTCCTTTTTTTCTGAACACATGCTGAATTTTGCTATTTTTGGAATGCTCTCTCAATGGGAAGTTTCAATATAAATTCAGTGCATAGCGACCGCTTCATTCAACACCAAATTAGTTATGGATGCTGAGCCAGTGCTCTATGCCATGAAGAATGCCTGTAGAAAGTCCTGACTGTGTGTAATAGTGGTTACTGTCAAAAATAAAATTCATAGGCCAGATCCACAGCTTGCATAAATCAGTGCAGTGTCACTGGCACAGGCTCTGTCTCACTGCACCCATTTAAATAGTTTCTCAAACATTTCTCAACATCCTCCAACATTTTTGTCCAAGTGCTGGTTCAGGTAACTGCAGGCCAAAGGACATACATTTAAGAAAAACAACAATAACAGCAAAGGATACCATCTCTCTTTGTTCACTATTAATGAGCAAGAATGAAGATTAGGTTTTTTAAAATATTTGTCTGGTAATTAGTTCATTATATTCGTATGGAAATTCTACTTAATACAGTATTTCTCAAAAATGTTTCCACTTAAACAACATCAGGTTCACAAAGATCCTCTACAACAATTTCTGTCTCTGTCCTTTGCAATGACAATTGGATTTCTGTCACAAGGAATAAGCAAGGGGAGGTTCCTAGTAGATGTGGATGATGGCTATGAGGAATTCAGTCTTTGATATGCATGGGAGTCTTTCTTCTGCAATGAAGGTTTGGATTATAAGTAGTTACACTTAAATTCCATTTTCAATCCTGATGAATTATGACTTGCCAAAGCCATGTCAAAATTAACAAACAAATTCAGAATCAAAAGTCACAAGTTCAAGCTTTCTTTTTTCGTGTAAACAATGTTGTTTTCACAACAATATTAAATCCACCTTAGATATACTTTCATCAACTGGTACTAAATTATCAGCTGTTTTGAACTGCAGAAACTAAACTAATCACTTTATCTCCCATATTTGCCCAGTCACCTCACTAAAGGATAACTCCTGTGCCATTGACCAATGAAGTGATTAAGAGGACTTCACAGGAAAAGTTGGAATGTTTCTGTGACACTGCTGTTTCCCACTTGTCCCTTCAGGCAAATGTCATACCCCTTAACAGTATCACATTTTCTTATCCAGTATGCAGAAATATCACCTTTCTGTTTAAAGTTACAGATTTATCTTAAACATGAGTTAACAATTAGAGAAGGTAACAGCCCTTTCATTATTTTGAATGTTTGACTTAGTGTGGCCTTAACAGCACTTCAGTTAACTTAAGAAAAAAACTGCATAAAACTATCAGGACTGTATTAGAAAAAAGTACCCATAATCTTTGATACTGATTCCTTTCTTGCTCACAAGTATGAGATAATAATATTCTTTTATTTAAAGCAGCTGGCTGCAGAATCTGGAAAATGCAAAAAGGCTTTGCCAAGAGAATGAACTTCAAAAATTGTTCTGTAGTTTAACACCTGTAGTTTATTGTCCCAAATGCATTTAAAAGTGCAATGTTCATATACTTTACAGAATCACTTAAAATGTTGGTATAGAAAAAAAAAAAATCATACTTTATGTAGAACTCTAGGTTTGCTGGAAATGAAAGAAGCATTTGTCCAAACAAGTCAGTCTTTCAGAGACTTTTTCCACCCGTACTTCCTTGCCTACATGTAGTATCAGATACCTGATGTATCTGAAAGATCAGTCTTCACAAGTTAATCTTAAACGTGTTATAGAAATACAACATTCAAAATTGGCTTTTGTAAGCAATGTAGGGATTTTTTACTCTGCCCCTCGTTCATTCCCAGTAAAGCTGGGTGGTGTATGTGACATTTGCCATTAGTTGCAACTTTTAGTTGAAGAAAACTATGTCCTGTGCCACAGCTAATGGGGTAATTCCTGCAGCTCTTGTAGCAGAACCTTTGTTCTGCAATACTGAAGATTATAAATTTATGCCCTGCTGCTAAAATATGCTGTTGGGGTCATTACTCAGTCTGAGCTAAAGCTGATTTGATCTTGAAACTCAGCAGAGCAGCTTCCTGACTCAAGATCATAGAATTATAGAGTCTTTCTCAATAAAGGGTCAGATTAAAAAAAAAAAAATATCACAGGGGGGGTAGAAATCAAGAAGCTCATTTCAGCTAATTACTAACACCATATCTGGCTCATTAGTGCCACTGACTCATGTGGTGTGAAAAACCAAATGAAAAGGTTGCACACCAGCAAACTAAACATGAAAAATACTTTTTGTAATTATAAATGAAATAGAATAATTGATTTATGGTCAATTAATCCTCTGACCATCTGAAGTGGTAAATAGGTAAATAATGCAAAAAACATAGGAGAAACTTGTGAGAAAAAAAATATATATAAAACAACTTCTTAATAAGCTGTTGTCTTGTCATAGATTTTTAAAAAAATTTACTTCATCTCCTCCCCTCGTCCAAAACTACTGCTAACAGAACTTAGTGATCAATAGCCTGTTATGCAATACCATGAAATGTACACAGCGGTTTTGATGATAATAAACTATTCAAAAGCTTGGAAATACTTTTTGCAGAGCCTGGGGATAAAAATCTAAAGAACTTAATTTCTACAGATTTTACAAGAGAGTTTTATCCATCCTACAAGATAACCTCCAATCACTATCTAAAAGAAATAATTTTAGTTAGGTTCTGGGGAAGAAATACTGGCCCCAGTAAAATAATTAGAAAAATACTTTCTAATTTCTTCCCACAAGAGGTTCATTACACTCTCTATGTTTTAAGAAGAAAATAAATGCAGTCCTGTTCAATTTGTAGAAGATCTCTATTCTTTTCATGCCTGTTAAATGCTACATCGGGTTCTCTCTCACTCAAATATATTTCCTTGTGAGTCATTTAGAGCTAAGCACAAATACACAGAGATTTAAAGGACTGAAGCCAGCATGCTTCATGATAATCAAATCTTTAATTCCTAAAGTAGGAGTAAGGTATCTACCTAATTTTGAGGATCTGAGCCAGAGCTACTCTTTACAACTTTTTTTTGCATAGTTCATAGTAATTTTCCTGGTGTTTTAAAAGCCTTCTTCTATTGGGTTCAGTTGAGTAATACACAGATCATCTATTTCTAAGCTAGAAACAGAGCCATGTTGTGATGTACTCTAATTTAGGGTCACCCACCCCTTTTATTAGTGTGTGTACTCCAGATAGAAATAAGAAAAAATTATGGAGTGGAGAAAGTGCAGAATTATAATATGCAGTAGATGTTTATGCAGAGGATCTGAAACCATTACCAGTCCTTTGAGACAGTCCTGAGAGACTAGGATTCAACAACCTGAATATTGTGCCATGCAAATGAAACTGAATTGCTTCTGGGGAGAGGTAATGAAATGGGAAGATGAGTGTCTTCATTGCCATTTTCTATTTCATAGAATAATCATGCCTTAAAGCTGCTGAGACCAGTTCCTCAGATACTTGTTTGTGACTTGGGCTTCCAGACAAATCATGACATTTACAAGTGCTGTTTCATCCTTCCAAAGATGTTAGCCCAGCTGACTGTCTATTCTGTTCTTAGCTGAGAGGTGAATACATAAACATACCAAAACATATATATTTCATAGACACACATACTTAAAAAGAGATAGGGACTGGAATTAATTTCTCAAAAGTGGAAATAAACTCGCTTGCCCACTGACTCACCCTAGCCTAGCCTTGTTTGAGGATAGTCACATGATCCATTAATTTGAAATCTAATTATGCTCTACTACTAAGCACAAATGCAGGGAACTGCATGTACCCAAGGAGACATTTCAATGAGCTTTCCTCTGTGGAATGTCTGCAATACCTAATTTTAAATCAGGACCCAAGATTTTGCCTTCACTGAAATGAAGCTAATCTCTGCACAGTGAACCAAAAGAGCATTCCCTTGATAGTGGTGTCTGTGTTGGGCCAGACACAAATATGAGCAAATTACATTCCAGTCCTGAGAATTACTCAAAATCTCCTTCTAATGTGTCTTGTTGAGTTGGCAAATATATGTTCCTATGTGACTAAAAACCCCTCTTAAAAAAAAAAGATATCTCAGTGTTTTAATTACATTAAATTTTTAGTTCTACTTTATCCTTTAGATTTAACAGCATAGGGAAACAAGTCCATCAACAGAGGAACAGATCTGTGTAGTCTGTCTAAAATTCACCCCAACTTTTCTAAGATGGATTCACATGGGAAACCTTCCTTTGTTGAAGACCTGTTTTTTTTTATAAAAAACCAGTTCTTATGGTGCAATCGGCACCCTTATATCATTAAAAAAATACTATAACTGCTGGATTGTCTCATTTGAAAACACATCCAGCAGCATAACAGAAATGTGCAGCTCACTGCAGCTGGGATTCAGCATGCACTAAGATGACCTCCTAAAACTCTGCATGATCAAAGATTTCATCAAAAAATTTGTCACCCATGGTTTTAGTCCTTCTGAAACCTTGAAAATCAAATTACGTTAAAGAGAACATTTTAGTCTTATTATCACTGCCAGCATAAACAATTCAATCAAAATGATCACAGCCAATAAAAATCAGCAAAGCTCACAGGTTTTAAAAATTACCTGATCACTAGCACAGGGAAATCACTATCAGTTTCTAAAAACAGCTGTGGATAGGCTGTGCTTTTATAACCCATTAAAGGTATCTTAATTTGTACAGTTATCAGGGTTCCACTATTTCACATTGGTCCTTCAGAGGAGCTTTATCTGAACACAGTGTTCCATACCAGCAGCCCTGCAATCAGCAATAAAATATAATGACCCAGTGTTAACAGCACAGTGTGCTAGTTTTAGCAGCATGTCAGTCAATGGTTTTGTTAGTTTGGCCAGGAAAATTCCAACTTGCCTGTAAATTCAAGTAGATAGAAAATACCTTTTTATCCAAGTCTGCTGCAGATGTCATCTCTGGCTCTCACTATATTTTTTCCCCAGACCAATTAAAGACAGCTTGTCATTATTGCTAAAGTATTCCTAAGTCCAGCTCCAGACACAGAAGGGAGTCCTGGCTTTATGGTTTGTTATGGAAGTAGCTGGGTTTTCAATTCCATGGGCACACAGAGCCAGTCAAATAAACGCTTCCCTTCTGCCACACACAGTTCTCCAGTTACATTGTTAGGTGCTTTCAGCTTCATTTGAAACATCAGGTACTGGTCATTGCTTAAAGCAAGATGCTGGATGTCATGGTTGTGTGACCGGATCCAATATGGTAAAATCTCTCCCTGCAGGAAGCAGACATCTCTCTAGATAACTGCGGCTGCTGCCGTGCCGATCACACTGCGGGCAGTGCCGTGTCTGCAGGGGGAATTTATGGGCACACACTGCAGGCAAGGGAGGCTGGAAAGCTGGGGGCAGAGCAGGCGGGCTGTGGAAACATCGTGGATGGCCAGCAGTCCCCATCGGGCTGTACCGCAGCAGAAAATGAGAGCGCGAGGGAGCTGCTGACAGCCCACACACTGGATGATGGGTTTCTTTCTGAAATGAGGAAAGTAAAACAACACTCAGCAGTGATGAAAAGACGTAAAAGAGCAGCCCTGAACTATCACTTCTTTCAGTGTTGCAGGGACTGGCTCTGTGCCCAAGGCAAAATTACATCTAAGCTCTCACATGCAGCTGAGCAGCTGAGAGGGAAATGGTGGTGTGTGCAGGGACTATCTGAGTTAAGTTCCCATTTCTAATTGATCCTAAAAGAAGCTGAAGATTCCAACTTCAGGATTCAGCCTAAATGTTATGAATGTCTCTTTTTTTGCAGCCTTGTGCAGCCAAACGTAGTGTTGTGAAGCGATACCAGGCTGTCCCTATAGGACATGTAAAATCCTTATTCAGGAAAGCTGCAGCTCTCAGAAACAGTTCCCCAGTGCTGCGCCCTCACATCTGTGCTCCACTAAAACCAAGGAACCTCTATAAACGCTGATGGCCTCCCCAGAAAAGCAGCTGGTCTCTGCTATTCACCAAGAGGTATCGCTATGGTGGTGGTTTGTCTAGATCTAAATGTGGGGGTCAATGGGTGTTTGCTGGTATTGCAAATATCTCAATATGTTTAAACACACAACCTTACTGAACTGAATAAGAGTGACAAAGCCCTGCAATTCACAGCAAACATTGATATATTTATTGAGATGAATTTAAAAGAAATTACACACAGGTTATTTTATAACTGCCATCTGTCAAGGAATTCTATATTTTTCTGCTAGAGCACTTGTACTGCCCACTCTCAGGGATGGGAAAAATGGAAGAAAATAATCTCTAGGTTGAGCCAGTAAGGCAGTTCCTCAACTGTCTCCCTGCTTATGAGGGGACATATGAGTGAAGCCACAGATGAGCCAGCTCCAAGACAGACGGCTATTTCATTTTTTAAATTATGAACAACAGATAACATTGCCAGCCATCTAAAGCCATGTTGTTAGCTGTTCTTTATGCTGAGTTAGGGTCACTGCCTGTGAAATCAGCTTGTCTGAGAATAATCAACATACTGTTCTCAACTATTTCCAGGGGAAACAGAGCTGGTTTTGTTTTCTGTCATTTCAAGTTTAATACTCTCTTCTTAATCTGAGTTTTAAAGGATCTCACAGAAGTGTCAACTCTCTGTTGCTTGATGAAGGAATTTCATTAGTCTAAGGTGACATTTTAGATTTTGTTTAAATCATTTCTAGTGTTATTGCATCCTGCAGAGAAGGATTCTTTTAAATCACCAACACATTGCTGTGCACAGTAGAGACCTCCCTTGGCAGGATATGAAAGAAAAATCACGTACTGATAGCTATTCATACTCTAAAAGTGGGCAGAGAGTAATGAGGAAAAAGGCAGTCAGAGAAACTCTGAGCATGGACAATTTTTTGCAGAAAGAGTAATTAGAGGACAAGGCATGTTCCAAAGTTCTTGATGAAAAGCTTTTCTCATAAAGAAGCAATTAAAACTCCCGTGACCACAGTTCAAAAATAAATCCATGGCATTTCCTTCTGCACCACACTTAAAACTAAGTATGTATATGCATAAGGATAAAACATGAGTGAATGCATTGCAACTTCATTTGCATCAGCAACATCCTTTAAAAAGAATTAGAAATATTCAGCAAAATATGTTATACAAGAAATGCAGAAAACTATCATAAAATTCTTAAGACCACAGCTGTCAAAGTCTGTCTCTATATTTTCCAACTTACATAGCATTTTTACAAATTTACACTTACCCCAGCTAGCTTGACTTAATTAAAATCAATGCCCAGTTCCAAAATATTATGCTATTAATTGTTCTAAAGCTGACTTTTCAAAAGCAAACTCAAATGCCTGAATATAACATGCTCAAAATGTATTTTAAAGTTGTTTTATTGGTGGTGGCTACAAATAAGATTTAAGCATTCAAAAAAGGTAGCAAGATACAGAAATTATTACAAAACTATTTTTTATATCTCCTAGTTCCCTGTCTTTTCAGCGCAAAGACAAAGCATTTTTAAATTACTTGTTTTAATAGATCTCTCTAAAGCTTAAGATATGTCTAAAATGTATTTTTCTCTTACATACAAAAAATAATTTTTGTTTATTAGAAAGATCTTGAAGAGCAATGTCAACCTCAAGAATGCGATTATCAAAGCCATTTGACACGCATTTAAATTTGTGTTCTTTAGTTGTTTATATTTTCCTTTAAATAAACAACTATTACAGGAATGTGCTGTCAACAGAAAATTTAATTTAAACACAGGGGATTATTTGCCTCTCTTTCACTTTTTTTTCTTTATATTTTAAAATTTTCCTGCAAATCTCTGATCACAAATAGCAGCACTATGTTGGCACATGAACTGCAGAAACAAAACCTTATTGGTGTTTATTCATTGTCTGCACTGCAGAGTGCAAAGCACACATGCATTAGCTGTAAAAATTCTGTCTGCTTTAATAATTTATGCTATTATTAGTAACACTGTGTGAGCAGGCATATTTCCCAGGATTCTCTACACACAAAACAGAGTTCAAAATTCATGTATGTTCTGTGGTTAGGCTTTATTATTGCATGAAAAGTAATAAATTAGCTTAACAATTAAAAATATGAATGTTTCTATATAGACCTCCTCAAACTCAGCTGCTGGTATTTGTCCTTTCTCAGGATGCCTTAAGCTTTTCTTTTTAACAGAGCCATTCCTACTTCTATTTAGGTCATGATAATGAGTTACCTGCTTTGGTGAGTCATTGTGCTGCTATTGACAATTCTTACTGTTTATAATGAGGTATGATTTTTAATGTCAAATTATTTTACCATCCTACAGTCAGATATGATACTTTCTGCTCTTTAAAATTACTACTGGCCACAGGTATATATTGGAATTTGCTGCAGAAATTGCTACAGTGCATGTGTAAATATCCACTGTTTTTTTCTTGTTTTAATAAAATAAAGCCAGACTTCCCTGAGAGTTAATGGTCACCTCCCAGATTTGATTTTATGCTTAGTGGGCTGAATAATAAGACTGGTCAGGAGTTTTGCAAGACACTTTTTTTTCACAAAATCCTTTGCAATAAAACAAATTTGTCAGAGCTTCCAGTGGAGTGGGAAGTCCAGAAAGCGTGTCAGCCCTGTTTAGAGATATTATCTAAGACCGTCTCTCTGCCTGCTGTGGAGTGAGGTACCTGGTGATCCTGGAGCTTGTTCCTTTGAAGTTCTGTCTTAACCTAAATCTCCAAAATTCTTGTTGCCCATCTTTGCACCTAAGCTTATGTAAGAAGGAACACAGGTTTCCAGAGCATCTCTGGAACCTTAATGTTTTAGTTATTTTTCTCACTTTAGTTTGCTTGAAACAGTTTCTCAGACTTCCTAGCACACAGAGAATTTGTGAAGTTTATTCTGCAATTCTTTTTTTTTCTCTTATTATTTATTTTTGAGGTAAAGACTTTCATCATCTATACCGTTTTACTGCAGAAAGAGGTAGCACATGTAGGAAGAGCAGGATGGTCAGAAGATGTTAAGGACAATTTAGATAAATGCATTCTGTAATGCAGGAAAACAGCTGTGCAGAGGAGGACTGTGATGTGATAGTGGTTAATTCTACAAAAAACAATTTTCTAGGAGTCAAAAAAGCATATTAACATCAGGAATTATTAGGGGAAAAGATAGAAAATAATACCACAGAGGGCTGTGCAAATCTTCAGAAGGGCCTTGACAGGCTGGAGAGATGGGCAGAGAGGGACCTTCTGAAATTCAACAAAGGCAGGCGCAGGTCCTGCTCCTGGGGAGGAACAACCCCCTGCACCAGCACAGGCTGGGGGCTGAGCTCTTGGGAAGCAGCTCTGTGGAGAAGGACCTGGGGGTCCTGCTGGAAAACAAGCTGTCCATGACCTGCAGTGCCCTTGCGGCCAAGAAGGCCATGAAATCCTGAGGCACATTAAAAAGAGCATTGCCAGCAGGCTGGGAGAGGTGATCTGCTCATCTGCTGAGGCCCTGGTGAGGCCTCACCTGGGGCACTGTGTCCAGGTTTTGCTGCATCTCTCTATACAAGCATTAGAAAATAAAAAGTATATGCATCACAACACAAAAATAATATTTTTTTTTCAGAAGGAGGTAGTTATCCAGATATGGATACCAAGCAATTTTTTGTAAGAGTAAACCAATATGAATTATTAAATATAAATCTACTCCAGTCTCAGAAACTAATCTGAAGTGGAAAGAGTAGGACACTGACAAATACATAGCTAGGGAAGAAGTAAAAACAGTTGACAAGCTCTAGGTCTTTAGCATGTTCATATAATTCCTTATAGAAAAAAGATACCTGGGCCAGTATTACCACCCTTATATTGTGGCATTCACATTGTTAAAAGCAGTTAGCCAGGTCACCTTGCATCAAAAACTGATGCAAGGAGACAAGCTAGCACAATGACAAACTATCAAGAGTATCACAAAAATAACATTCCAACAAGGTTTTAAATTTAAAATCCTAGAGAGTAAATAAATACATTATTATTATCATCATCATCATCATCATTATTATTATTTTGTTCTTTTCCTATAATCTTCCCTGTATATCTACTGTGTGCCACTACAGGAAAAATATACTGAAATACATGGACCTTTAGTCTGACTTGAAAAGACCATTCTTGTGTTCCTGTTAGGTAGTTGGAGACCAGAGGTATTAACAATTCCATGCATTATAAGAAATATGTTGTTCAGATGTTTCAAAGGACTAATTGTCCTAAGTGAGAGACCTACAGAAACAAAAAAGGGAGTAGGGCATTGATATAAGAAGACAAGAGAAAGAATAAACAAAAAAATTACTTCGTTAGACATGCGGATGTTTACAATTTTGTTTTTCTGCATGAATTTCGGACTTAAATATGAAAACAAGTGTATGACTAAAGCCGAAAAAAGAAAATGCAGAACACATCCCACAAAGCGTGAATGATGTTGAAGAAAAAAAATCTCTTAAATACATTGATGGTAGTTAGAGCCAAGAGAAGATAATTACCCCTGTTCTTATTGGATTGATATCTGCATTT